AACTGGAGAAATGGTCCCTTAACTTTAACTAAATTGTAGCAATGGTCCTTTCAACATAACTCATTTTGACAAAATTTTTTACGTTGTTGGCAAAAATGACCATAATTACACAGTTTGATGAGTTGAGGACCCTAATTATATAAATGGTTATTCCAACATAACATATTTTGACAAAATTTTGAAGAAATTGATGAAAATGACTATAGCTACACATTTTGATAAGTTGAGGGAGCAATGGTAATGAATTTTTAGTTGAGGAACAATTGCTCTAATTTGATTAAAGTTCAAGAACTATTGTTACAATTTACTCTTAAAAAAAAGTTGCTTAAGGAGTCAGCTAAACCTAAAAGATTAAATCGGACGGCTGTAATTAAGCAAGTAATTAAGCAAAAGTTCCTCTACAAGTATGCCGGTCTCTTAGTTTCCCAACTAAACCTCTTACCAACTCTCTCCCATCTCACTTTCTCCACACTCTCTCACTTCTCTCTCTCTGCATCCATCCATGGCGACGATCCAGAGCGTGAAGGCTAGGCAGATCTTCGACAGCCGTGGCAATCCCACCGTCGAGGTTCGCATCTCTCTCTCTCTCTCTCTCTCTCTCTCTCTCTCTCTCTCTCTCGTCGATAGTTTTTAGGTCCCCGATCTACTTGTTCAATCACTGATCGCAATCCTCTTTTCCCATTCGATTCGATTAAAACGATGCGTTTCATTCTTAATCAGGACATGCAGATTTACCAGTATTCTGTAGATTGATTGGTGTTTGATTACATAAAAAATAATTTGTTCTTTATTTTTCCGAATTTAATTTTTTTTAATTTCAAATTTTTAGTCCGTAATTTTGTTGAATTTAATTTTTATAATAATCGATAATTGTGCGATGGAAAGTTAAAAAATGGATGTGTGTTTGTTGCAGGTCGATATCATACTGTCCGATGGCACTTTGGCCAGAGCCGCCGTTCCAAGTGGTGCATCCACCGGTATATTTCTCTCATCCATCTGTTATGTTTTTCGTGTTCTTCGAAACGATATGGTTCTTCGAACTTGTATGGTGCAATTCTTGTTTGTTGGCTTGCATGCATCTGGTTTATCGACTCTCATTGACTTGCAGGAGTTTACGAGGCCCTTGAGTTGCGCGATGGAGGTAAAGACTACCTCGGAAAGGGTGTATCGAAGGTGAGCTATCAGCAAATCGCTTTGCCGTTAATTTGCTTTTGCATACCACCCAGATTGAACATTGTGTTGATGTATTTGTGATTGGTTTACTAACCTTTATGTTGTGTGTAGGCTGTGAACAATGTCAACTCAATCATCGGCCCTGCTTTGATCGGCAAGGTTGGTTGAATTTACTCGCGTGCTATTGTATAATGTGTTTGTTTTAATCGATTTATTGTTTTGAACCTTGAAATTTTCCGTTTTAACGTTTTACTTGGATTTCTTGTTGCATCATACAGGACCCAAGTGAACAGACTGCTATTGACAACTTCATGGTTCAACAGCTCGATGGAACTGTTAACGAGTGGGGTTGGTGCAAACAAAAGGTATAACATATTTGTGCTTGTTACGTTTGGCCTATATGTGCAAATCTTTGGTTGTAGGAGTTGTCAGTCAAACTAACTTGGATATACTTTTGTTTTTCAGCTTGGTGCAAATGCCATCTTGGCCGTGTCTCTTGCAGTCGCCAAGGCTGGCGCTAGCGTCAAGAAAATTCCTCTGTACAAGGTAATAGCTTCGTGTAGATCAGAATCAGATTATATCTATTGCGCTTCTTTTCTATTTATTGTTCAGTGTTAGGTGTTAAAGGACTGGATGAATTGCTTTTTCCGTTTTTTATCTGTATCTTTTTCATTACATGTCTGATTTTAATGTTGCCATCTCTTCAATCGCAGCATATTGCCAATCTTGCTGGCAACAATAACTTAGTTTTGCCCGTTCCTGCTTTCAATGTCATCAACGGTGGATCACATGCAGGAAACAAGCTTGCAATGCAGGAGTTCATGATTCTTCCTGTTGGAGCTTCCTCATTCAAGGAAGCCATGAAGATGGGCGTGGAAGTATATCACAACCTTAAGGTGGGTTACCCTTTCCTTGAGGGAAGAAGTTTAGAGTTTTTGTGGGAAAGTATTGTTCTTATTCTGTAATTCATAAGATCATCATAGGATCCTTGCGAATGAGGAGATTTTATTATTTCTCTTTCCTGAATTTTCTGCTAAATCATGCCGTTACTTTCCCGCTATATTTTCAGCATCCATGCCCTTTATATGTTGAGCATGCTTGCATGATTCAGTTATGCTTCTTAATTTCTCACTGACCACTGTCTTGTGTTCTCTATAGTCTGTGATTAAAAAGAAGTACGGTCAGGATGCAACCAATGTTGGTGACGAAGGTGGATTTGCTCCTAACATCCAGGTTAACCATAGTTTTAAGAAACCTAATCATTCAATTGAAGTTTTTACTTGTTCCTTTTTATTTCCTGCACATTTGTGTACTGAAATCATCATTATTTTTACATGAATTCAGGAGAACAAGGAAGGTCTTGAATTGCTCAAGACAGCCATTGAGAAGGCTGGATACACCGGCAAAGTAAGTTTATTTCTCCCCAAAGTTCTATTACAAAGAAATTCTTTTGACTCCGCCATAGTTATGAACAGAATTTCTTTTTGTTTTCTTCAGGTTGTCATTGGAATGGACGTTGCTGCATCTGAGTTTTATGGATCAGATAAAACCTATGATCTGAACTTCAAGGAAGAGGTTTGCCTTTTTACAATCCCCTCCATTGAATCTGTGTTGCCGCTTTTTTGTTTATCCAACCTCGAAAAATGTCTATTCTTAATTAATTGTTAACTTAATTTTCTATCGTCTTTTCTACAGAAAAATGACGGTTCCCAAAAGATCTTAGGAAATGCTCTCAAGGACCTCTACAAGTCATTTGCAAGTGAGTACCCTATTGTTTCAATTGAAGATCCATTTGACCAAGATGACTGGGAACACTATGCCAAGATGACAGCTGAAGTTGGAGAAAAAGTACAAATTGTGGGAGATGATCTGTTGGTCACCAACCCCAAGGTCGGTTGATCTCTTAAGCGATGTTTTCCCCTTGTCTCTCTCCCGAGAGAAAAGGGGAATCAATTTAATGTTTCTTTCTGATGTCCTAACTTTATTGACATCTCTACTTCTCCTTTTCGCATTTTCAGAGGGTTGAGAAGGCAATCAAGGAGAAATCTTGCAATGCTCTTCTTCTCAAGGTACGGCAGGGATCTCACACCTTAATAGATCATACTAGAGTTTGTGTTTTTTACCATCATGAAAATTTTAACCCTTTTTAATCTTGTTTGGAATACAGGTGAATCAAATTGGATCCGTAACTGAGAGCATTGAGGCTGTAAGAATGTCCAAGAAAGCTGGATGGGGTGTGATGGCCAGCCACCGCAGTGGAGAAACCGAGGATACCTTCATTGCTGATCTCTCCGTGGGTTTGGCCACGGTAATTATTTGATCTGAAATCTATGTTATCCCTCAGTTTTCTCCAAACACCCTCATTTGTTCTCATGATTTTTTTTCTTTAATTTTCTCAGGGACAAATCAAGACAGGAGCTCCCTGTAGGTCAGAGCGTCTTGCCAAGTACAACCAGGTTCGTACCAGCACCAGTTTCTTTGTGTTCGTATGATTTTGTTAAATTTCTTTGGTCATTGTTTCGTTCAGTAGTTATATAATTTAATTTCTGAAAAAATCTCATGTTTTATATATGTAGCTCTTGCGAATTGAGGAGGAGCTCGGTTCAGAGGCAGTGTATGCTGGAGCCAAGTTCCGTGTGCCCGTGGAGCCCTATTAGATTATGAAGTGCTTCCAAAGCTTTTGCGGGATGTGAGAAATCGGAGTTTCACAACATAGGGAATAGTTATGTGGAACTTGAAACCCTTTTTCCAATAATTTTCAGATAAGTTTTGTTCTGAGAGCTTGAAAACAGTACACTGGAAATTTTCGAGTAAGCATGTTTGACTATGTACTCTGTTTTGAGTTGTTTTTTTAAGTGTTTGCTGCTGCCTAATTTTTGGTAATCGCCTTGTGAATGTGCTGTGTTTAAGAACAAGTTTTCGTCTTCTGCTTCAGTGTTCGCTGTGCAATTATTGTTTCCTCTTTTCGAGCGATATGTCAAGTTACTCCTACACCCTTTTGGGTATTGTTTTTAAGAAAAACTAATGAAGAAGATTTGAAAATTTTGAGTTTTGACAAAATAAAAGGTAAAGTGAATATTATCAGGATTGATTTTTTAGTGTAAAAATGTGGTTTTTCGTTAAAGTGAACAGTGTCGAGAGCTTTTCGTTAAACTTCTCTTGTTTTTATCAATCTTAGTCAAGAAGGAACGTTTCATTTGATTTCTTTTGATTCGGAGAAACGTGTTCATGATCAATATGCTTCAAGAATTCGTTCCGTCTCCGTGTTCAATACGCTTCAAAAGTTCGTTTTGGATTGTGATTGATAAGAACGCTTCAATGTTTTTCAAGTTTGATTTGGGCCGAGATTGATGAGAAACTTCATAATTTTCGTTTTGGTTTGTGATAGATAAGAACGCTTCAATGTTTTTAAGTTCAACTTGGAGTGAGATTGATAAGAAACATCATAATTGTAAAGATTGATGACAAAATTCGATACTTAGTATGACTAACCTATGGTGTGGCTTATCACAAGTGCCACACCATAGAGAATAAACATCATAGACGTCGAGGTACGCTCGCAGAGATACTCTTGTATTGGTCTCACAAAGTCCCATTGAGCACGAGAGTTGCCCTTAAGAAGTAGTCCTACCAAGTAACACATCAAAAACGTATATAAGACGTCGAGACCTAAATTAATAAGAAGTAGTCCTACCAAGTAACACATCAAAAACGTATATAAGACGTCGAGACCTAAATTAATTAAAAACCTTAAGAAGTAGTCCTACCAAGTAACACATCAAAAACGTATATAAGACGATGAGACCTAAATTAATTATAAAAAAAAATGCAGGCTGTGGGGTTCGAACCCACGCGTACTTATGTACAGCAGATCTTAAGTCTGCCCCCTTAACCTCTCGGGCAAACCTGCTTGACGACAATAGTTCACCAAAATATTATGTTTATTAGTTTGAACGGGGCGATTATTCAAGAACAATAGCGGTGTTGCTGCTATCGCTGCGCGTTTCATAAAACTTAAATAAAACCCTAAAACAAGGTCAAGGGCATCAAACAATCACAATTCGGAGGTCACAGCCATGGCGGAGCACTTAGCATCCATCTTCGGCACCGAGAAGGACCGCGTCAACTGCCCCTTCTACTTCAAGATCGGAGCTTGCCGGCACGGCGACCGCTGCTCCCGCCTCCACACCAAGCCCAGCATCAGCCCCACCCTCCTCCTCTCCAACATGTACCAGCACCCTGATATGCTCACCAACCCCGGCGTCGACCCCCAGGGCCAAGCCATCGATCCCCGCAAGATCCAGGACAACTTCGAGGTCACTCATTTCTCTCTCTCTCTCTCTCACTCTCTCTCACCATATATCTATACATATATTTTGGTTTGAATCGGAATTGGATTTTCGTTTCGAATGCAGGATTTTTATGAGGATCTGTTTGAGGAGCTGAGTAAGTACGGACAAATCGAGAGCTTGAATATCTGTGACAATTTGGCTGATCACATGGTATAATTTCTAGGGTTTCTGTGTCTCCTTGTTTTTGAATTTTTGATCTTTGGTGTTGGACTGATTGGTTGTGTTCATGTGTTTATGGGAGTAGGTTGGTAATGTGTACGTTCAGTTCAGGGAGGAAGAACATGCTCAAGCTGCGCTTCAGAATCTCACTGGGAGGTTCTATGCAGGTTAGTTCCCCTCCTTTATCTTATCTTGATATGTTACGGATAACACGATCGATAGTCGTGATGGTATAGTGGCTTTATCTGCCGCTGTAATATGTTTCGCTGAAGTCACTTTCCTGTCTTTTGATTGATTCATGATCGGTAGATGTAGTGTGCTACATTACAGTTCAGTGTTTATAGTTTGCGCATTATTGCTGAACTTCCAACTTAGAGTCAAGCTATAAAAGCGGACTGGGTTTATTTCGCATTTTCGATTGGTTGAATTTTTAAACATGCTGTCTATCAGGGATGGCCTTGAGACAGTTGGATTTCGAGTGAACTCAAATCGCGCATTCACACAATCTCACAGAAGAAATTTCTATTTGTGTATTGTTAGAAAACAATACTTATTTAATAGATTTGCAATCCTTTGAGTGAGTTACTCAAATTTCAATTTGTAATGGTGTTGCATAATTATTTCCTGGCATGGTATTATCATAAACTATTTCCATAAATAAGATTAATTAATAAATCTGGTTTCAGGTCTTTAGGTATTGAGATTCAAAGTTTCAGACCATGTCCAATTTAGCCCAAGTGGGTTGGAACGGCCGAATTAGGTTTTCTGAGCTACAAGAATTGTACTTTGGTCCGTCTTTTACTCATCTTAGATTATGATTTGATGAACTGCATTTTGTTCAGGTAATTCATAGTTAACCACTGATATGTGTATATTGGCTGTACTCTTGTTTTTCCTTTAATTGGACTAATCTTGAATTGATGCTTATCTATTACAGAGACGGATTGGTTCTTATATGTGTACACGTGTCTAGTTCTACGTTTTTTTTTCTGGTTCAAACATACATTATTCATCTTTATATCTAGGCCGAAAGGGGGAGTTTCCATTGGCCATAAAGTTTACCCTTTAGTAGATTACAAAATTTACTTTAAAGAAGAAGAAAGAAAGGTTAAAAATTTTGTTGTTACATAATGGTTTGTAGATGATTCATACATCAACTATAAAACTTGTTCTGTAGAAATGACTGCATGGTTGTCTTATAGTTGTTGGACCATTAAACGAGAGCACACGTATTTAATTCCTCAGTAACTTGTAAAACTGTTAATCATTACAACCATTTGCTAGTTGGTGTAATGAAGCTTTATCCTCAAAATTATATCGGTAGGATTCCGGTCAATTTGAGTTACTTTTAATTGCATATATTGGAGTCAGGACAGTTTCAATATTTTTTGTCGGTCGGTTGTGGTGGTGGCCACTCCTATTATTCCTGATCTTTTTATTGTTCTTCTTTCTATACAATGATAGTACTATTGGTAGTAGTAGTAGTATTACTGCCATCATGCAATTACTAACGTTTTGTTAATATGATGAATGTTAAACATTCTAGGGCGTCCCATCATCGTTGACTTTTCCCCGGTGACGGATTTTCGTGAAGCTACCTGTAGGCAGTATGAAGAAAATGTATGCAATCGAGGTGGCTACTGCAACTTCATGCACTTGAAGAAAATTAGCAGGTGAGATGGTACTTTTCTCATGTTTTGCAAACAGCATGATTTTCATTATGACTTTTTTGTTTATAGCACATCTGTCCTTTTTTAGGGAGTTGAGGAGGCGGTTATTTGGGAGAAACAAGCGAAGGCATAGTCGCAGTCGAAGCAGAAGCCGCAGTCCTCAAAGGCATCATCGTGGTGGTTATCAGGAGCGCCCACATGGAGGTCGTGGTTTCGGTAGAAGAGGAGAAGATGAGAGAGATCATCGTTTCAATGATAAAAGCAGGAGGCCTAGAAGCCGCAGTCCTGGGCGTAGAGGAAGAAGTAGAAGCCCTGTGGGCTCTGGGCGAAGGAGGAGTCCTCCAGCCAGAGAAAGTAGTGCCGAAAGAAGGGCTAAGATCGAACAATGGAACAAGGAGAGGGAAAAGGTGGATTCTGGAAATAAGTATGATGACAATAATAACAGCAACAATCATGATGATCAATGGGATGGTTCTGCAGAGAACAATGATCAGTACTTCGACGACCCTCAGCAGCACCAACACAGGTAGTAGCATGATAGATGCAAAGTCGAGCTACCTGCTTCTGAGATCAAGACTCAGTTATCTCAAGCAGCTTACCGTGTTACTTGTATACAAGTTGGCTGTTGTCCAAGAACTATGTTCAGTATTCGGTGTGAAGCGTTTTGCAGGCAGTAAGGTAATTTCTCGATCCTGGTTTAGGAGTCTGCCGCTTGGAATGGCGAGTTTTTATTATAGGAAAGATCCTAGTGTACGGGAAGTAAGAGACATGAATGTTTACCGGAATTGAGATATTCTCTGAGATGTCTTGTTAAGTTTTTCACCCTATGTCGTTAGAATCGTTAGCGTGATCTTCTGTTGCTGCTTTTGCTAATTCGGGTGATGGTTATATACTATTATTTCCGTAAGTTCCTGTCTTCGTATTTTCGTAGGTAGTAGGCGTGCTGATAGTTTGTTTTCCGGAGTAACTCCTGGGTTCCTGTGAAAACAGGATTACCAGCACCAGCCAAGTCATTGCGAATGTGGCTCCTAGCTTAACGGTACGCAGTAAAAATTTTGTCGAAACTGCGTAGCTTTTTCTCCGGCGGGAGTGAATCAGCTGATGAACCGAACCGAGTAAACCTTTCTCCAATTCTCGACATTTTAAGATGGAAACTTGAATCTTCGGATTGGATACTGGAAACCTGTGACCGAGAGAATGATACTCCGATCGTTAAAAGTTCGGATCCTAAAACTCGAGATTTCTTCAATCCTTAAAAGCTTGGACGCTTGTAGATTCGACTGGTGTTCGACCCTGTTTAGGGCAGTACGGACTGGCGTTCCCAATTTTGGGGAAAGGATCCTCTCCCGACCCAAACCCAACGGATCCTCTAGATCCTTCTTCTTTGAAGGCGTCGTCGGCCTTCCTGCAATCGGCGTTGTGCTTCCCCGGAGTTGGCTTCGTAACGTTAACTGCAGGAAGGCCGACGACGCCGACTTGGCCTTGGATGCGGTGGGTTTGAGTCCGGAAAGGTTCCTCTCCCCCAGTTTTTATCTTGCTAAGACAAGAAACTCCCCTTCGTACAGCAGGCGTGCGCCTCGGCTTCCAAGCAAGTCTCGGAATCTTCCTTATTGCACACAAGTGTGCAAAAAAAATATCCACTTAAACATTACAATTCTAACAACTTATCATGAAACAGGTTAGTTTGGTATTACTGTGCTTCGAAAAAAAAAATGAGAATAAGCAGTTGTGAGAAGAAATAGTTAAGTGTATGGTAAACAGCGAAAGCAACATGTGAAGGAAAAAGCTAAACAGTGACACCTACATTAAAAAACAGTGTGCCAAGTGTCACTCACTTTCAAAAATAGTACAATAATGTAGCTTTTTGTAAGAGTGCTTAAGAGTAGAAGCGTTTAAATAAAAGCGATCATTTGCCATTGTAATTATTTAGTGTTCTAACAAACATTCAACATTCCATCAACTTAAAATTTAACATCCTAACAATCTAATCATGTTAAAGGTTGATATCAATACATGTGATGATACAAACTAGTAAAAGGGTGATAAGCAACAACAAAATTTCAAGTGAAAAAATTAATAATTAACAATATTTCTACGCAGTTCGAAATATTTTATTTTTAATCAAAAACCTAGATCGGTTTAAGATGAAATCTGAATAGACCGAACCAAACTGAATCAAACCAAACATATTGCGTTTTAATCCAAGTTTACATTTTGAGTGGAAATTGAATCCCAAACCGGTCGATTAACGGTTTGACAATCCGCAACCTCATCAGCAACCAACAAGTAAAAACAATGGTTTGACATTTAGAGTATTTATTTCGATTTTCTTTGTATTTGTTTTATGTAGCCTTCTTCATTGAATCTGTTCCTAACTTTCAATTAACTGCCATTCCAACAATTAGACAATTTATAACCATCCTTCCTCATCCGCAACGGAAGTTCGACTTTCCCGGGAGAAGCTTGGCACCCCCGGGGCAGTCGAAAACAGCAAACTGAGGACTTACGCTAACAAATGCAAAGCCGCTTATGGGCCAAGGCCCCTAACAGCTTCCTAACGAAACAACCAATTCTTGGTAAGAAACGAAGGTGACAAGCAACTATACGGAAAAATGCGCACGGTTCCTCATAACGTCTCAAATTCGAAAACCATAGAAATCAAAATAACCGTAGCAAAATGCCTCCCAGATCAACTGCAATAGTTTCTCATCCACGCCGGTTCAAACCGA